AGCCTAAACCCTCTTGTGGTCCTGCTCCAGGACCCCAGCCTGGTCTCACCCCAGTGTGGTCCAGCCCAGTCCCCATCCCAGTGCCAGCCTTGTTCCCACCCAAGTGCGGATCCAGTTGAGCCCCTCCCCATCCATCCTTACCTATCCCAGTATGACTCCAGGCATGTGTCAGCCCACTCTAATCCTGATCCTAGTCCCAGCCTAGCTCAACCCTAGCTCCTGCTTGTGGGCCCTCCAGCCCTGCCTGTACCCCACGTTTCCCTGCAGGGGAGCACCAGGACACGGACCGGTGCTGCCGGGACCACGACCACTGCCAGCACGTCATCCACCCCTTCACCTCCCGCTACGGGTACCGCAACCTGCGCTGGCACACCATCAGCCACTGCGACTGCGACCACAGGTGAGCCTCCCCAAAGCTGCCCTAGGGCACCCTGGCATCCCCCCAGGGCATGGCAGCCCCCTGAGCCCGGCTCTGCCCTGGGGCAGGTTGAAGGAGTGCCTGCGGCGGGTGAACGACACAGCTTCACGGGTGGTGGGCCAGGCCTTCTTCAACGTCATCCAGGTGCCGTGCTTCGAGTTCACCTACAGGGAGGAGTGTGTGGAACCCTATCTCTATGTCTGGTGAGTGCCCCCCTGCCCTGGGGACCATCCCCCTGCCCGGGCTTGTCCCACCCTGTGGTGCTCCTCAATTTTGGCAGGTGCAAGACGTACAACACGGTGGCCGTGGCGGTGCCCCGAGAGCCGGTGCTGTATGAATTTGGGGGGGAGCTCATTGATCGGGCAGCCAGGCCCAGGGGAGTCCCCCTGAGCCCCCCGTGGGGCAGCACAGGGGGAGGAGCCCTCCCAGTGGATCAGCACACTGGGACAGCCCCCAAAGCAGTCAAGAAAGAGAGGAAGAGAAAGAAAGATAAGGGGAAAGGTCTGAAAAAGAAAGGCTCTTCTGAAAAGGGGGCATGGAGCCATCCTGCAGCTGCTGCCCCCGCTGATCCCTGGGCCCTGCTGCCGTCCTTGGGGGAAGCATCCAACACCATCCTGAGTGATACCCTGGCACGGGAGAGGTTGGGCAGGGAGCCACTGCCAGCCACTCCCTCCCCAGTCCCTGCCACCAGTGGGAAGAGGAGGAGGAAGGAGAGGAACAGAAAGAAGAGGCTGAAAAGTAAAACTGAGGCTGAGCCAGCATGAGCTCCGAGTGCCCCCCCGAGCCCTGCGTGGGTCCTGGCTGTGAAATAAATTTATATCTGCTCAAGCAGCCTCAGCTTTGTCTCTGGAGGAAAGGATGGCACCAGGGGAAGCATCCAGGGGAAATGCCAGGGCTGAGCCCATGGGAGGGGAACACCTAGAGCTGGGTTGGTACCCAGGGGTTTGAGCTGTCCCTCACTGCTCCCCTCAGTTCATGTCATTGTCCTGGCACTGGGGACGCAGCTCTTGGCCACATGCTGCCAACAGGGCTGAGCCCCAGCTTTATCTCCCCTGCTAGAGGGTTAAATTCCAGCTCCCCAGGCATGTAATTTTCTCTGGAAGTTTTCTGGATTGCACCACCCAAGCTCTCTCATCCTCGTAACCCCTTGCCTTTCCCATGCTCCCAATCAACTCCTTCTCCCTTCCTTTGGGTCTTAGCCTTCCCTGAAGGCTCCTCAAATGCCTGCAAAGCTCCTTAGAGTGGGACAATAGATGTTTTTCCAGCCCTGGAACAAAGGCAGATGCTGCCTGGGAAGAGCTGGAGCAGGGAGTGCTGCCCGTGTCCCTTCCTGATGGGTGGGGATCCTGTCTGGGCTCCTGTAGCGAGGAGCAGGGAACAGGGCACTGCCACCAACCCCTCCCAAGTGAGGAGCGTGGCTTGGCCCAGGATCCTGGTGAGGTGCTGGAAAGATCTTCCTGTGCCAGCAGCAAATTCCAGACTTGGAAAAGGCCGGAGAGCCAGGAGCCAAGCAGACAGCAAACCCCACAGTGATGAGCGTGCAGTGCAATCCCAAACCCCTGAAATAAGGGGGTCACACGAGTCTGGGGGGGAATACCAAGGGTGGAGGAAGGCATTGCTTCCTCTCTGGATGCAAAGCCCCTGTGGCAGCCGTGGCAGCCACAGCATCCAGGCAGGAAGCACGGAGGTGGGGCATGTGGACCAGCTTCCCAAAAGTAGAACTTTTATTGACAGCAAGGGAAGACTGAAAACAAAGACAGCCAGAAAGGAGGCAACAACACACAACTAGCCCCCCTCTTCCAGGTCCAACCTGGAAGCTGCTCCTAGTCAAATTCCTATTGTACAGTCTCATCAAATAACAAAATTCACCCACCTGCAATCTCTGTGGGCCCCAGCCCGTGGTTCTCCCCACTGGCCTGGGTGGCTTTGGGAGGAACAGGACCCTGTCAGCCTGTCAGCACTGCAGAAGGGATGGCATTGAAGCCAGGACCTGCATTTCTCTGTGCAAAGAGCTTTGCTTTGTCTCCTGGGTGGCAGCCATTCTTCAGGAGCATTTACATGCAAAGACGACCTTTGTTTCCTAAAATCTGCTGTTCCTGCTCATTTCCTAGCAAAGGAGGCTGACCAGGAGCACTGGGAAGGAACAAAGACTCTGCTTCCATAGAAAATCCCTACTAACAAAGCAGGAGAGGGGAGAGTGTGTGCAGCAGGAACTTTCCCTCTCAGAAATGTCTCTCCAGTCGCTGGCAATCCCTCAGAAACACTGCACTGGGCTATTTCTGACACAAATTATCCACTTTATTCGCCTCCTCCCAGTTCCCCAGCGCCCCTCCCTATCCAACAGCCACAGGCAGGTGCCCCCGATGTCGGTGTGATGTCTCCATGTGGAGCATCTGTAACAAAACGCTATTTTTTTAACAACAGAAATCAGCTTCTCTGAGAAAGTCCCAACACACCGAGGGCAACACCAAGCAACAAAGGCAGGAGCGCTGACTTCCACCATGCAACTCTGCTCGGAGCAAATCCTAAGGGAAGGGCAGGGTGCAGGCAAAAAATCTCTGAGCTAGCATTCAGTAAAAACACTATTTATTCACCCCTCTTGGTTACAGCTGGGCAGGGGAAACAGGTACAGAGGAGGAGGCCACACACTCCGGGCTGCTCCGTGGTGCGTTATCCCACGTGTCTGTCTCAGGGAAGCTGCCGTAGGCTGGCGCTTTATTTTGCAGTCTGATTAAAAAAAAAATAATAATCAAAACTAAATAAATATTGTTCCAAAAGAAGCCAGAGGAGAGAGCAAGCCTTTGGTACAACAGCTGCATCTCCAGCAAGACCCCGAGCTGCTGTGCTGGACCCCTCCAGACACAGCTGGGGTTGGCACAGACTCTGCTGAGCCTGTCCCACGTGAAAACATGGAGCAAACAACAGGAACTTTGTGAGAACTCTGGTTTGTTTGTTACAACCCCCACAACTTTGCTTTGTGGTCTTCCTCTTGAAGGGAGGTGACAGTCAGGGTTTGGGAGAATCCAAAGGAAACAGGCTCACTCCAGGGCAATGCACTTTCAGCTCCGTTCGCTTCCCAGTCTTTGGGAAAAAAGCAGAGTCTTGGGTGAAAGCAGAGTGCTGTGCATGTACAAGGACAGACTCCTTCGACCTCACGTTTGCTTTGCTAAGTTTCCAAGGTGCCTCAAAACTGGAGCCTGGAATGCAGAGGCCGATGCAGAGGTCCTTTCTATGATATATTTTTCTTATATATAGTATACATTTTTAAACCAGCCCTGCCAAGTCTATTCTCTTGCTCAAGTGCACATCACCAAGAGTCATTTCCCACCATCCCACGACGTATAAAACAGGAGTTATGTGTCTAAGGGAAGTCGCTTCCTATTGTTCCCTCTCCTTCCCCCTTCGGTGGAGAAGAGAGCGGAGGTGTCAGGTCCTATCGATCCATCTCATCCAGGAGAGGCGTGGCATCCCCAGCGATGGACATGGGCGTGCTCTCGATCATGGGGCTGGGAGAGGGTCGAGGGGTCAACCTCTGCTTCTGTTTCCTCCGCTCAGCCTCCTTCTCCTGCAGCCACTGCTCGGCCATCTTGCCCCAGTCGATGGCAGCGTGGCTGTTGGTCCTGCAAGGACACGGGGACAACATGAGATGTGACAGGAAAAAACTTCCCTGCCCTCCCTCCCTGTGGGGGGAAGTAACCCCATCCTGCTGCTTCCACAAAAAGCAAGGGAGCCAGGACCTGGATACGAGCACCTGGAGCTACTCACTTTGGCTGCTGCCTCTGCCTGGAGCTGGATGATGGCTGCGACTGTGCCTGAGACTGGGTGGACTGGGGTGTGGTGTTGGCCTGGAGCTGGTACTGGGGTGTGGTGATGGGCTGGCTGGGAGTAGTGTACGAGTAGCTGGGGGTCATCAGAGGGGTGGCCACCGGCTGCTGTGCTGGAGTTGTGAAGACCTGTGGAGAGCAGAGGCTGTCAGGGGGCAGAGGGTGGACCCTGCCAGGCTGGGGGGGCTCTGCACTGCCCTGCTTGCCCAGGGGGCTGCCCACCCTCGCTCTGCATGCCCCCAGCCCTGCTGAGCACAGCACATCAGCTCCCCTGAGAGCTGGGCCAGCACAGCCTGTCCTCCTTGTTCAGCCCAAGGGGAGATGCTCAAACCAAGCAAAGGCAAGAGACACCTGGGGCAAGCCAGCAGCAATAACATCCTGCACTGGGCATGAAGAACAGATAAATTCTTCCCCTGCAGGCTGCAGAGAAAGTGCAGCAGCTCCCAGGATGGATCCCTCCCACATCCCAAGCCAGCTGGCTGCCTGTCCCATGAAGAGCTTAGAGTCTTTGCCTCCTGGTGTTCACCTCCCTCTTCCTTCAGGTGTCGAGATGATTAATACATCAGGTTATCCACAGTCCCTGCCTATCCTCAGCTCAGCATTTACTGTGCCAAACATCCTGAAAGCCTCCCAAGGTGCTCTAAAGGAGGATCACTCCTCCTTGCAAGCCTTGTCTTGCAGCATCTCTTCTTTGGGTGCAACAGCTGGGTGTGTTCTTATACCCAGGCTCCTCAGTCCTTCCACAGCTGGAATTTGCCTTGGTGTCAGCTGGGAGCTTTAAGAGTGGAGCAGGCACACATGAAGAAAAGGCTTCAGCATGAGCCAAAACTGTCTAATTCCATCTTACTCCCTGCAAAGCTCCTGGGTGTTGGGTCAGGCTGAGGTGTTCCCCGCCGGTGCAGCTCAGAGATTAGTGCCGAGCTAAAAAGCCCTGCAAACTCAGCGCATACTTTCCCAGCTAATCTCCTCCACTAGCAGCTCACATTGCCAGTTCAGGGGCACAATCAGAAGGTTGTGTGCCCTCACTGCTGGATCCCCCCTCTCCACCCTGCCACATTCCTTGGAGAGGGCCAGACCAGTTTGCTCCTTGCTCCAACTCCCCCCGGAACAGGGCTGTGTTATATGCCTCATTTCTCCGGTCATGGGAGGCAAAAGGAAATCTGGTTCAAGAATCCAGTCTGTGCAGCACCAGGGGGACAAAACTAGGACCTGGGGACCCCAGGCAATGAGGGATTCCTTAGGTTTCAGTGGTTTCTAGCAGCAAGAAGAAGAAGTCAGCAGAAATTTAAGTGACACCTACGTGGTACGCGCTGCTGCCGCCTCCGCTGCCCCCGTAGCCATACTGGCTGGAGCCCCACTGTGCTGGGGTGGCATTTGGGTTCTGTCCCTGGCCTGTCACAGCAGCGATGGCACTGAACATCTGGGAGGTCATGTTCTGTGGCAGAGCGTTCACTGCACGTGTCAGGTCTGAAAAGGAGGCACGCTGCATTAGGAAAAGCTGAGCCTGGAGGAAGAGCAGCTCACATCCCAGTTCCTACTGGGAACGGTCGGCACTGACCTGCCAGGTTGATGTTAGCTGGAGTAGCATTGATGGAGGCTGGAGTCCTGGTCCGACTGCTACTGCTGGGGGTAATACCTGTGTAAAATACCAACCAATTAATTCTCCTGGAAGAGCAGCCACTGGTCTGAAACCCAGGATTTGAAAAAAATAGAGTCAATAGTTGATCTGGCACGATGGTTTTCTACCAGGGAATGGTGTATGCTGGATTGTATGGTGGGGAGACAAAGGAGAGGAAAGGGACTGGTCCAGACTTTGCTGTGATCAAATATTAACTCTCAGGAGAGTGGGTTGGTCCATGGAGCCAAACATTTCAAGCATTGCTTGGAAACTTCCCACATACAGAAAAATCCTAGGACACATTTTTGGGACAAAGAAGATGGAACCACCCTTTAATAATTGTCCCTGATATTGTGTGATAAAGACAAAGCTGAGGCACTGAAGTTTCAGGCTGCTCACCTGGAACAGGGTCCTGATAATGATCCTTAAACCATCGGAAAAGTCCATTCACAGTAGGGAAAACTTGGCCCCGGTAGCGGAATCCCTCTGGGGTCACTGTCACATACTCTATCCTGGGAGGAGCAGGGAGAGCAGGAGACATCACAGGCTGTTTCAGTCACCCTCTGACAGGTCACACTCACAACAGGCATGGACTAAAACCACACAGGCATGGACTAAAACCACAGGCAATGGCTGTACTGATAATGAACAAACAGATCCATCCAAGACACTTTATCTCCAAACAATTCACACTACCCTGCCTTTCCATGAAAAATTCATCATTCCCTGCCTACACTCCCACAACACCCACAGCAGAGAGCAGTGCTGCTCGTGGCAGCCAGATGGTTAAAAAACATGGGAGTCTCCTGGGTGAGATTTACTGCTGGAAGAATTGGGTCCTCCACTGTCAGGAGGCTAAATCCTGGGAAAGAGAAGGTGTGAGTAGATCTTTACAGGCACTAATAAAGTATGGAATAAATGTTGGCTTCTCTTTCTTGGTCTTAATCAGCAGCTCTTCCAGCTTCTAATTAGAGAGAGAAAGAAGATAAATGCTCCAGGGGAGCCCACATTTTCAGCAGCACACAGAGCCTATGGATATCTTCCAAAGAAGTTACCACATCCTGGGATTGTCTCACCTTCTTGTCTCCACCATTGCAGTCCTGATAGTACTTGTGGTTCAACAGGTCTCTGGCAAAAGAAGCCATTGGCTGGACATAACGAGCAACAATTTCATCCAGGTCTTCAAACTCCTTTGAACAAACACATTTAAAGAGGTATTTAGAGTGTATTTGGTCATAAACTGCACAGCAAAGCTTGAGGAGAAAAAAAGATACAAGTGCTGTCTAAGGATCCAGAGAATGTATTGGAAGTTACTCTCCAAGAGTGTGAAAGCAGCTACAAGGACAGAAGGGCTGTGTCAGCCTGTAAAAAAAGTCCTTCCCCTTCCCAGGCATGCTCTGCAGGGCTTTACCTCTGTGTTAATCCAGAGCATGGAGCCCAGGCTGAAGGCATTCTCCTTGCCCTCCTCTCGGACATCCACGTGCTGGTAAATGCCATCATTGACCTTCCAGGTGACAGTCAGATGGTTCTCCCCTTTGCTGCTTGGCCGAATAATCACATCCCCTTGGTCCATGGTCTCCATCATCTTCTCTGCTTGCTTGAAGCTGATGTTGTGGAATGATGGGTGAGCAATTACCCTCTTGATGTAGGCTGGGGAACAAAGGGAACTGCTTTAATGCCACTGTATCTAATTGTGCTGATTGTCCTGAAGCAGGGAAGGCTGGAATTACAAGGGAGAGAGAAAGTAAGAGAACTCACTTGTCCTCTGCTGCTTTCTCTTCATGTCCTCTTCCTGTTTGTGATCTGCTGCCTCAGAGTCAAAGTCGTAGTAGGTGTCTTTGGGCAGTTTCCACTCATTGTTCTTGTCCATCAGGTCTGAGGTCCTGCAGGTCAGGTCTGCGCTGAATTTCTCAATGTCAATCTTCATGATGCGGCAGTGGACGGTCATTCCCACCTGCAGAGGAGGTGCAGGCCAAGGTGAGCAGCAGGTTTGGCAGAATCCCTGTGCTACACACCAATCCATGTGGGATCCTGCTGACACTGAGGTTGTACAAATAACATCAGCTTCTGCAGATTGATACAACCTTTAAAAGTGATCTTTCTACACAAACTCACAAAAATGACCAATATCAAATGAGATTAACAGAAAAATGGGCAGGTCCCCAGCACATCTATTACCTGTTACCCACACCACATGGAAAACTGCACATCTGGAGGGTGAGGACAATCACCTTTTCTATTTCAAATATCTTTCACAATGGGAGCACCAAAACTGGACTGCAAGATGTGCAAGAAAGCAGTTAAGTTTGTTCAGAAGCAGACACCCAAAGGACTGCTCTAATAAAATGTGAGGCAGAAAATCCCCCCACAAAAACTGCAGTGTCTTAGTCCAGTTAACCATGATGAAGTTAATTAATAACTCTTTAAAGAAATGCTGAGACCTCTAAGCTTACAGGATTATCCATCACCTGCATGGACTGTTGAGGACCCCAAAAGACAGAAAAGATGTTGAACCACTATTTCATTATGTGATAAAGAGGTGTTATTCCATTTCTTTCAGAACGCCAATTCCTGTCCCAGGCAGGACTAGTAACTCTGATGACCTCCACAAATTAATGGAGAGGGAAGGAAAAGCTGTAAGAGGGAAAATGACCCTTGTCTGTCCAAAAGCAGTTCTGTGAACTGAAAGCCAGAAACAAAGGGCAGCTCTGCATTAGAATTCCTTCTGGTCTCCTAAACCCAGACTCCAGCCAGATGACAATAAATCCTCCTGCAGCACAACTTGTTAACTGATTAACAGGGTCCCACCAGCTGCCAAGGGAGATTTGCACTGTGGGACAAGGACACTAACCAGAACCTGAACTTCCTGCTGATTTTAAAGTCCTTACATGAAAGTAAGGTCAGAAAAGTCATTTAAGAGCAGTGTTATTAACCAAACTCTGATTCTTTGGTATTGACTCCAGGTTCTTCCAGCTCTTGCTGGGAGTGTGAAAATTCACTGCTTTCATACCTTCACCCTTTCTTCTGGCCTCTTGACCACCTTGTCACTAAGAAATTTTGTTGGGATGAAGCCAGCAACACCATTATCCAGACGTGTCTTCACTCCAATGGCCTGACCTGGGCAGGAACCGCTGTCAAAATGGTTCCAAACCTTGAGCAAGGCAAAAGTAAATAAATCATTCAGCATAGAAACAAAATAGCCCCAGCAGTTCATACTCAAAACAAGTCCAAAAGCTGTGTCAGCAAAGTGGTGCAGCCAGCAGAGACTTGTGGAAGGGCAGGGGACAGAAGACTTCGACAAATGCTACCCAGTAATGCAATCTTCCTCCTCCAGTTCTGCTCATCTTATGGGACATTGCAACCAGGAAGGTCAGAACATTTTTAGACCCTGAACACCAGCCTGTAGTCAGGGCTGGTTTCTAATGAACACTATAGGGGTTTAAAGTCACGGATTACCCAGGCTGGAATTCACAGTGCTTAGAAGGGACCTAAAGTACAGCTGCATTAAGCAGCAGGTGGTCCAGATAAGTTCTTAAAACTGAGAAGGTGGCAGAGCCTTCTGTTCTGTGTCATAGGCAATTTCTCTGCATAAAACACAATCCCAGACCACAAACAAGAAGGCTTTATGTATCTGCAAAGAACTGTTCAGCTTAGCCTCAGGCCCATTTCACTCTAAAAGCCATAATGTGGCTATAAAAGACCTGTCAGATCTATACCGAAGCAATTAGTCAGAAGTGCAACAGATTTTATTCACAGCCAAGGGCCACATCAGGTTTGGGTCCTGGGGCACTGTGGACACTGTGATACCTTGTCTCCTAAGAACCCTACACAACACTCCTGCTGATAGCAGGCTCCTGACAAAGGCAGGCCTGTCAGGAGGAGCAGCCCCACCTCACTGAGCTCTGGGAAGTTGTCCTGCTGGCAGAAAGGGCACTGCCAAAGGCCAGTTTCATCATTCCGTATCGCCTGGTCGTAGCTCTCTCCCTGTGGGCGCCTGTGGGCAATGCCAGTCACATTGCAGATGATCATTTTACCTGTGGGGTGATGGGAGAGGGGAAGGAAAGAATGAAAAACTGCAGAGCTGGGCAGTTCCCTCCAGTTTGTTATTCATGCAGGAAAGTGTCAGGAGGCCAACCAAGTACTTTGAAAAGCTGCTTCACACTCCACCACAGCACTGTCCCAGCACCACACTCACTAAGACCCCTTTGCCCCACCTTCACACATCTTGTGTCAACTTAGGAGGACAGAAAGCAGGGATGTGATCATGGGTGTACCTATGTAAAATGTCTCTGGAGTTTCTTTGGTCAGCATATTGAAGACCTCCTCTGTGTTGGGAGAACGGTAGGGAGTTCTCAGGTCCTTGTATCTGCAGCTTAGCTCAGCACGAATGTCATACAAAGTGATGTGCTTGTCACCATAGCCCTGTGTGGGATTCAGAGGTTACAAAGGCATGAGCAGCAGGAAGGAGGTCAGTAGAGAATCCAGGGTAAGTTTTGGAAGAACTCAAGCAACTTATGAAACAGCAAATTTAAAAAAGGGAAATGCAGCAGGTACCAACAAATGGTGAAACTCAGTCACAGGATGTTGAGGAGGTTAAAAGAACAAATATATTTAGAAAAAAATTTCAGGGAGAAGAGCTTAAATGGTCTAATTACTGTCCCCTGCCCCAAGTGCCCTTTCTGCAAGAATTTACTGCATGCCATTGTCAGACACTGACTGCTCATCAGGGCTGTTTATACATTTTACAACAGCACAGCTAATGCCCAGCTCCTGAAAAGGATAAAGCTGTAAAACATGAGAATCTTAGCTGGGCAGCAGAGCTTCCCCTCGTTTCTCAGCACCAGGAGCCCCCAGTGCACCTGTCTTTCCAGTTCTTCAGCAAAGGCATCAAGATCCAGGTCTTTCAGGCGCTCGGGGTTTTCCAGGATCTCCTCCAGAGCTCCTGCAGGATTTGCATCCTCAGCTGACTCATCGTATTCCAGGGCATCCACTGCCATTTTCCTTGCCCATTCATAGGTTTCAGGATGGACCCTAGAGCCATCTAGAACTTCAATGTAGGAATCAGTGCTGAAACAAAACCAATGTTCAGATCAGGGCTCTGAGCTGTTCCAGCTGTTCCTGCAGCTAAATGATCAAGCACCACTGCTGCCCTCCATGGAAAAAAGTACTCCAGAAAGGACACTATGAATTATTCATTGCTAAACCAACAGGAGCCAAGGCAAGACCTGGCAAACTCCAGTCTGCAGCTCCAAATACACAGCCAGGCATTTTGCATGCTGGGTGGATTTGATCCCTGCTCACTACAGCTGCTCTGTAAGTACACAGCTCTCTGCTGCTCCACTCCTCACACAAATTCAGTGTTGCTATCGGGCTGTTTGGATGGGCTACCCTTTGTCCCCAGCATCTCCAGGATTTGTATCCTGCAAGAATCAAGGGATCTAACAGGGTTGGGTCACTCAGTAGGGATTCAGCCAGCTGTTCTTTCTCACATTGCTTTTCAAAGGCAAAAAACCCTGCAGAAGGCACGTTTCTAGTATGTGACCCTTTGTGCAAAGCACCCAGTCAGGTTCAGAAACAAGGTTACAGCTGTCCTCAAAACACCTCCTGTGCAGCTACTAGTAACTTAATGCTATATAAACTTTCCCAGTATTGCTACTGGTCTGGGAGGAAGCCAAATTGCTGAGTTATTTCTGAAGTTTGAAATTTTAGAAAAATAAAATACTCTTGGAAGGACCAGGCAGAAACTAAGCAGAAGTGCTCATGGCTTCCTGACAACTATTTTAGGGAACAATTTGTTTTAGTTTAGTTCCTCTTGACCACAAAAGAGTTCTTCTCACCAGAACAAGCCATATAATTAATTTTCTGCTGTGCAAATTAATTAATAATTAATTGCTGCTGTGCAAGTTTAGCTGCCCATAGGAATCAGATTAATAATCAGCAATACCTGAACTTGGCCTAAAGTCAGAGGGGCCAAACTCTGGGTTAACACTGACTCAGGGAAGGTCTGTCACTCACACTGACTTCACACCCCATGGGACATCAAATACCCAATACCCACCTATCACCCAGTGATGCTGTGTCAATTTTGATGAAGCCAGCACAGTTGATAAACACTTTGGGTCCCATGTGACACATCGTAACCAGCTGGGTCCTGTTCTCCAGACGGGTGTTGTTTTGTTTTAAGATCTGCAAAGAGAGGCAAGAATAAAAACCTTGAGAGAGGCAAGAGTATAAACCCTGCTATTCAAACACAAGATTACTCAGAGGTTGTGGACTTCCTATCCCTGGAATTGTTCAAAGCCACGTTTAGAGGAAGATGTATGTGGCTGTGGCCAGGGGTTGGAATTAAGATGATCTTTAAGGTCCCTTCCAACCCAAATTGTTTTTGTCTGGGAAAAAAACAGAGGATTCACACTGCACACCACAGTGTTTAAAGCATCTGACACATGCCCATCACAACTCTCAAGTTGTTGCTCCCTGCCAGTGTCTCAACATTGTGTGAAAGATGATGATTCCACATCAACACAGCTCCAACTCTCAGGAAAAGCGTTGGCTTTTTGCCTCGTGTTTTCTACACTGTGGAGGTGTCTTGACGCTCTGACAGCACATCCATTCCTGTGGGTTTGGGAGCTGGCTGGGATTGATGGATCTGCTGAGCTGTTTGGGTCTCTCAAGGACACAAGTCCACGTGTAGCTTCGGGGTAAAACCACACATCAACAGAGCTGTCAGCTGCACGTGGCACAGGGAACCCTGACTCACCTCCTGAGCACTCAGAGTGCTGGTGATGTGCTGGTTTTGTAGGCAGGCCCAGGAGCCTCCTTACCTTCAGCAGGTGCGTGCCTTTGCGTGGTCCCAGGCCACACACATACTGCAACAAAGCCTGGCTGTGGGGGTGAGCAATGGCCCTGTTCACATCCACCCCCACCTCGTTCACACGGTTGATGAATTCGCAGTACAGCGCATTCAGCAGCTCCTCCTTCACCACGTGCTCCTGGCAGAGAGAAGAGGTGTTAGCCCTGGAAAAGATGGATCTGTGCAACCCTCTGCCATGAGCCAAACACGACACACTGGCTCCCAGGAGCTGTGTTGAACCTCAGAGTCACCCTGAGAACAGCCTAAAGGCTGATGAGAAAGAAAAAAAAAGGAAGGTGCTGTGTAGCCTGAATATGGCACAGAACAGGCAGAACTTGCTCAAGTTTAACTTGGAAACCTTTTCTTTGAAAGCAAAACCCTCACAGGCCTCTTTCTCTTGCAGAGAAGGATCTTTCTTGCCCAAGGAAAATTTACCTGCAGAGGGTGGAGTTTCAGGCAGAGAATATCCTCATCAGAGCTGCAGACCTGGGCAAACTCTATGAGGGGGTCCTGGATGCGGCGAGCAAGGGACACAGCCTGACGCAGCAGAGGGGGGTAATCCCGGAATTCATTCTGCAACAGGACACAGAATCAGGGAAAACCCTCGTGGTGTCTTCACACTTTGTACCACAAGCAGCAAAGACACATCAGACAAGGACTGCAGCAGGGAAGCACTTGGTGCTCAGGGCAAAGAAAGCTGAGGTCAAAGGCTCCCAGGAGCTCTTATGCAATTAGTAATGGAACAATCTCACTCATTTCCAACTACATCAATATCCACTTTGTGCATCTGCTGGTGCTGATCTCTTCAGGGAAGCCTAAGATGTTTTGCCTTGATCCAAAGGATCAGTACGTGACTGTCCAGATGGATCGTATGAGACAGAGGCTGATGCAAGGGCAGCACAACAAATGGAGGATGACACAGCATGAATGAGCAACAGACTAAGGGACAGCTGGGGTAGCAGCAGGTTCACCTCAGACTTCTTGCTGTTCATGTAGAGGATGGCCAGTTCATTGTCCACCAGCTCCACTCCAATCGAGGACAGCTGCTGCCCTTGGTCCAGCTCATGAACAATTCTCTTTACATCCTCCATCAGCATCTGAGCATCCCTGGGGAGAGACAGCCAAGGGGACTGAGGGGAGAGCATAGAGCTGGGTCCTGGAAACAGTGAAATGTAGACAGGCACAAGGAGAGGACTGCAAAGAGACTGGGAAATGGAAGCAACACAAAGACTGACCTGTTCTCGCCTGCGATTGTCACCACGTGAGGCTTCTTGTTCAGGAGGAATTTTTTCAATGTTTCAATATCCTGGGCCTGGAGAAGAAAGTAGAAAATCAGAGTAGAAAAGGCAGATTGTTTCTGTTCTGAGCTACCTCCATTCATCTCAGTGACAGCTGCACCAAGGCTCACCTTCTTTTCCCTCTCCTCCTCACGCCAGGCATTCCTTCTCTTTGTGAAATGTGGCAATCGGAGGAAATCTGTCACCTCACCCTCTCCATTAACAAGGGCACAAAACACGGGGTGGTCCCTGTCAAAAAGAGATCACTCAGACATGGAGGACTGCTAAAGCTGGACATGCACCCAGACCCCATTCCCTCCCTCCTACCTGGCTGATGAAAACGCAATGCCCAGCACCCGGATCCCCTTCCCTTGGTTTTCATCCATGAAATCATCGTCTTCCTCCACCTGCTGATCTGGCCTGTATGCAGCAACCTTTAGCCAGTTGTACAGTTTACGGCTGCAAGCCTGAGAGAGCAGAGAAAGGACAAAGAGGAGTGAGATAATCCACAGCAGGAGCCTTAGCATAACCCTCCTCTGGAGGGAAAGTTGAACCAGACTCAATCCCTGCTTCCTCCTCCTCCCCAAGAACTTGCGTATGACCTGTCAGCAGCTATCCCCAGAACACTGCAGGGCTGCCAGTGTTTGCAAGCCCAGCTCTGCCTCAAACCTGTGCCTCATCTCACCTTGAGGACATATTCCTTGGCCTCCACTAAGAGCTTGTTCTTTAATTCTTTGGCCATCTGCACGTAGAGGAACTGGTTGAGGGAACGCTCGATGGCCATGGTGCGCTGCCGATTCCACTCCTGCACCTGGTGACTGAACTCATCCCGGTAATAGAACTGCTTGATTTCCTCAAAGTACGTCTGGTCACTGCCATAACTGCAACAAAGGAGGAGAGGAGATACAGAAAGGCTCCAGACACCTGCATGGACACCATCACTGGCAGATTCTTGCACACCTCAGATTCAGGTAGTTGCTTGGAAAAATTAGGGAAGAGCCAACCCTCCCATCAAATGCTGAAGTGATGCTGTAAGACAGATCACAGCCACTCCAGCACACCCATACTGCACAGCATGGCCACTCAGAAGTGCAGGGAAGGAACTAAGCTGGCTGGGAAACAAGCATCATCTTCCACAAAAATCCCAAGGTTTCAGAGTTTGCTTTCAAGTTAGTAAGACAGATGCCTGTTGAAGTTCTCCACAAGATGATGAAAAAAGCAACACCCTGAAAGGCTGCTTGACTTTGAGGTGCAGGAAACTACCAGGCCATGACTTTCAGGAGTAGCTTGGTTTACAGAGGTGCTCTAAGAACACTGCATGAATGAGCTCTGCCAAGTCAGGGATGGCACAGTCAGTGGGAACTCACCCCTCCACTCCTTTCATGTCAATGCTGATATCTATGACCAGCAGTGCCTCATCCTCTGCCAGGCTCATTTTCAGGAACTGGTCATCTCTCAGCTCCTTCACAGGCTTGTTCTTCATGTATTTAAAGGAATAGGCATAGTGGGCTTCATCAATATCCTGGGAAAGAGGAGAAACAGTCAGCATGCACACAGGGCATTCATGTCTTCTGTATGCCACAGCAGACAATGGTTTTTATTCAACACCCCCTCAGCCCTATATCTGCCATTCTGCATTTCCTTTTCCAGCAGGACACAGTGGAATTGCTTCCCAGCCCCAGAAAAACAGACTGTTTCAATATTTGAAGGCAGCATCTCATCTAGTGAAATGCTGAGACCAAAAATGCAGCATGCTGCTGAGCTGGGCTCTGCAGCAGTCCAGCTCAGTGCTGCTCTGAGATTTATTCAGAGTTGCCATTGCCATGGGAGAACAAGCATTTGTATGTTATTTAGATCCCTCCCTGAATTGAGCCACAGAGTCAGAGCTCCCTTCCTTACCTTCTTCCCCTTTTTTGTTGGTGAAATGTTGATTTTAGCTCGTTCTTGGAAAGTCTGTCTCAGGACCTGTCTGACCAAGGGCTCCCTGGCAATCTGCAAAGCCACCATGTACCGAGCTCCTTCCAGCACTGCTTCCGGGCTTGGGAATTGACTACGAGCAAAAAGGCAAGTGAAGGCTTAGAATAATGTCCCCAGATCCTCTCACTTGTGTTACATCCACAGTAACTCCACAAAGACCCCCACACTGACCTGCACACATAATCCTTGGCCAGCTCCAGGGGCTCTGCAGGGAACTGCTCTGTTTCGTGACGCTGGTAACTGTCTCGGAGATTCTCTCCAAACTGTTCAGGTGTCAGACCAAATTTTTTAGCCAAGCCATCTGGTAAGAGAAAATAAAAATAACAAACAAAAAACCCAATGAGGACAAGGGTACTGTAGCTAATCGTGAGCAAAACTATCAGTCTTCCTTCCACAGGTGAATCACAGCACCCTGTGGAGTGACTGCACACCCAGGACAGAGCAGAGCCTTACCCAGCCCAGCTGCCTGGCAGATGGTGTACATATCCCTTCGGGAAGCCTGCTTCAGCTCAGGCCCCTTCTGCTCATCATCCTCTGCATCCTCCCCTTCACCTGTAGGAAGGATACATTAGAGAGCCATCCAGACAGTGTGTCAGAAGCACAATTAAGAGATTAAACACAACCTACACTGTGCAGCAGAGCCCCTAATTCCCACAAAGGCATCTCAAAGGTTATAGTGGCCTTAAAATTATTCAGGGTTGGAAAATTACCCTGGAAACACTATTTCCAGTGTCACTCTTGCAGTTTTAATAGGAGTATCTCTGGGCTGCACATTAGAACATACGTAAGTTTGCCAATGCCACCCCTGGCACAAGGGGTGGCATTCATATTCCATTGGAAAGCACCTTGTGTGGCAAACCTTAAACTTTTCAAAAGTGCCTAGAAGACCTGGAACTAACTTGAGATAGAATGACCAGCAGAGATGCTTTGTGCAAACACAGAGGCTTTTCACCAAATTTTCTTCCTGCTCTTTTGAACCAGCATTTTCAAGCAGCCCACAAGAAGCAAATGTGGGGAGACAAACCTTCCTCTTCTTCACCATCCTCCCGGATACGCTTTTGCTTTTTGCGAGCAGCCTTGGCAGCATTCTGCATCTTGGGGATGTCTCTCCCATAGTACAGCAGGAAGTGATTGTACACATCCTTCAGCTCGTCCATGGACTGCACATCCTTCAGCCTACAAAAAGCCAGCATGTCACACCCTGCCTGCAGCTTGGTCATGCTCAGAACACTCAAGGAACCTGCTCTGACTCAAGTCAGGCAGAAGAGAAGCCTTTGGATTCATCTCCCAAAAGAATTTTAAGTATTATTTTAAGTATTTCTCATTATTGGCTTTGTGGGTTCTCTGCAGTAGCCAAAGTGCCTGTGCTGTTTGGGCAAGTCAATGGACATTTTAAATCATTCTGGAATGAATATGGAAGTCCTGGCACCCTACCTCTCCATGTCAGTAGTATCCAGGGCCCTTATTCCATCAGCCAAGGGCTTGTCTGGGTCAGCAGAGATTTGCTCGTACTGGTAGGCCTGCATCTTCTCAAACAGCCGTGTCAGGTTCTGCTTGCGGATCTTCAGCTGGGTCCACTGGTACAAGAACAAAAGAATTCCAGTGGAACACCCACTGCAGTGTGTTATCTGTCTCCTCCCTTCCTAAACAGGGACTTCCAGCATTTTGGGATATTTGTCATATAAAAATGATTATTAAGATCATCCACAGCCAAAGCCAAATGTGACATGTGGCAGGTCTCATCTAAGACATGCAGTATATTAACAGAACAAAAACAAAATTCATATTTGGATCTGATAGCAGAGAAGCAACCTGCACTGCTGGTAGGAACTGTCACTATGCAAAAGGAACTCAGTGAAGGAGAAGGATTTTATTGGAATCCTATTCTGTCAGATATCTATTTACCACCATATGACAGCAAAAATGCAGAAAGGCAAGGGTAAAAACCCCAAACATGGCCAAAACAAGCTGCTGAAAGTATGAGGCTACATAGGAGGACAAATGTTGGCGGGATAACAAATAAAAACATTCCTCACCTTCTCATCCCACTGCCAGACCCTCCACAGGTCATTGATGTGCAGCTCTGGCTCCACGTACTCTTTTCTGTAGAAGGCGATGAACGGGACCTGGGTCAGAAATGAGACTCATCAGCCGTGGGCAGGGGACTGGGCTGTTCCTGGCAGCCCAGACAGAGCTCCTGCTCCATGTGGGACACAAAACTAATGGGGCAGCTCTTACTCCACCAAGGAATACACCACATAGGCCAAAAACCTTCTGCAACATCAGAAGATGGATCGAGCAAGGCTCAAGAGAAATTCCACCCACCTCATTCAGCCTCAGTTTGTCCAGAATCAGGGAAACACAATGACAGCAGCTCTGTCAAACAGGCCTTAAAAACCTGCATTGCCACAGCTCACATAAGATGAGTTGCAGTTCCCAAGGGAGCATCATTTCATCACAGGAGAGGCAACCAGGGATGGTATCTCATCCCCTTCTGTGTGCCCTAAATGTTTCCAGCAGCTTTGCTAATGCTTTCAGGAAAAGGAGACAGACCTTGGTAATGAAGAAAAGTTGCAGATTACCTCAAAATGCTGATTTCTCATGAAATTCAGGGCTTCTTTAATCTTCTGGATTGTGCTGGGCCCCTTGCGGCTGAAGCTGCTGGCCTGTCCACGGTCAAGGTAATCGGAACTTTCCTGAAAAGGAGAAACACATTGTGCTCACTCTGATCCTGAGCTGATCCCCTAAAAGAGCACCCCCACATTAAGGCTGAGAAATTGTTCTTTCAACTTCTTTGTGCTCCTTTTTGCTCTGTTTCATGGATGCAAAAATGAAGACACACGTCAAATGACCTGCTCAAAATCAGAAATGAAGGTGGCACACATTCCTATCAGCAGACCCCTGAACAAGCCCCAGGCACAGTCCTTTACCTGCAGGGAGATGGTGGGCGTTGCAAATGCATTCCTATAAATCCAGTCAGCTTCCTCCTCCAGCTCATCATCTTCAGCACTCTTCACTGGGATGGATCTCAGCTGGGAAGAGAGAACACCATGAGCACAGGCAGGTGCAACACCAGGGCTTGCACTGCCTTGTTTCCAAGAAGCCTGGAAATTGCAGTTTTGAGCTGCAGGTTACCTCTGGGGACCCCCAGCTACGGGGTGCCAAGGATATCACTTCAATGTCTGCACCTTCTGAGCACACAGGAAGCTGCATCAGCTTTATACTAGATAAAGACAGCTACAATCCTGTCAAAGGCTTGTGGAAAGGCCTGCAATGGTGCAAAGTCTGCTGTGAAAATCAAGTGAGGATATCTCCACTTCCCACCAGACTCCCAAATTTTCTGCAGTTACGTCCTCTCTTACAATCTATCTGTGCCTTGCTACCACTTTTGTTGCTGCAGCCACAGAGTAACAAAAGATAAAGCAGCTCCAAAGCCTCTCTGGGCACTCAGCCTCAGCCACATCTCTTTCAGAGGAGCTGCTCTAATCACCACTGACCATGTGGATGACAATACGTGTGAACAAGCCCCTACAGCCAGAAGACATCACAGACAGCATTTCCTTCTGTGGCACAGACTGGCACAGGGGAAAAGGGCCTTTGGAAAACCGACAGATTCACACATCCCATTTCACAGAGAAAGGTAATAAACATCTGCACAGAATTACACTAACATACACTGAAGGGAGATGGACTTTTCAGTGAAAATCTGAATATAGCTTAAAATTAAGACAAAAATATGAGACACTAGAAGGATTCATCCCAGCACAAATAGCACTTTGTATTGAGAGCAGTGTAAGTCTCACCACCTTGAGTAAAGCTAATTGCAGCAGCTATGTGTTGGCTGGCATACATGTAATTTAGAAACCTTCCCATGTCTTCTCTGGCACTGCATTTTGCTCTCCATATGCCCAGCCCTAGAGATTCCTAACATCATCCAGCACAAAGACATCTCAGCAGAGCCCAAGCCCTGCACTTCAGCAGTGCAACACTGGCACCCAGCGGCCACAGGGAAGCTGTACTGGAGCTAAACCCAGATCCACAACAGCTCCCACGTCACTGATATGTCTGAATGCAGTTTTAGCCTGTACATTCGACAGACAGTGTCATCAAAGAGGGAAAAAAATATTCCAAAATCCATCCAGCAGCTTGGCAGCCTGCAGGTCTCAGGCCTGAGAGCCAAAATGCTTTCTGCCTGTGGAGCTGCAGCCCCTTGCCTCACCTGGAACCTCTCAGGCATGTCTGTCATGCGGATCTCGTTGTCCTGGTCTGTGAGGTGGCTGCTCTCCAGCTCACTGGGCTCGTACATCTCGAAGATGCTGCGGCGACTGACGCGTTTCTTGGTCGTCTTCTTGGGCCGCACGCGGGTCTCCCCTTCGGTTTCCTCGTCCTCGTATTCGTACTCCTCCTCCATCTCCTCGTCGTACTCATTGTACTTCTCAAACTCATCATAGTCAAAGTCCACACCAAAGATTTCCTGGGCTTCCTGCAAGGCACTGGAAAGCAAAAATAATCCTATTGTTCAGCCCCACAGCGCAGCTCACAGAACATCTTTACAGACACACAGAAGAAGCCAGGGGCACTGTCCAAGCTTTCTTCCACCCAGGCTAAATAATCATGGACAGGCACAAACTCTGAGCTTTACTGCAAATATTTCTCTTAAGGGCTTGGTTTTGGTATCCCTTTAAAAAAATCCAGTGGAAAAAATAAAAAAGGAAGGAGTCACACATTTCAGAAATCACACACTAAAAGCTCTACATCTAAATTTAACAGGTTTCTTCTGGGAAAAAGACCAGCAGTACTCAACCACAAGCTGAATCACTCTGCAGTCGCAAGATCCAAGTAAGTTGAGCACTATTTTCAAGGCTCCAGGCCAACTTCCAATCAATACTTACGCATCTGTGTATCCTGGAAGCTTCTTTCTCCATTTTGGCTTCTTCAGAGGTTGTCCATCATCATCCACAATGAAGTCATCAATATCTGGACATTGAGAAACAAACTCAGATATAGAACTGGTACCTCTGACAAAGCTCAGCCAGTGCAACTATGAGCCTCCACCACAGCCTGAGGCTGCTGCTGGCTGTCAGTCTGCCCAGCTCCCCACAGCATCTCCTACACTAACCTCACACAGGCCAGGACCACTGTAGCAAGCTGGAACAAACTTCCAGGCAAAGACATTTGAGCTGCAGCTCAGTGCACTGAAAATACAGTCAGGAAAGGCCTGGCTACTTTGGATAGTAGAAAATTGCTGAAATTTTTTTGGTAAGGTAGCAGCAGTGGGAGACTGATGCTGAAGAGAGGTAGGGCAGGCATGCACTGTGATATGAGGCACTAAACAGTGCCCTGAGTGCCTCTTTCTGAAGCATTTTCATTTTTGAGGCAGCTTAGGGGAGGTGTTTACGACCTCAGCACAGATAACGTGCTCCTGCACAAAGTGGTTCAGACAGACTAAACCTGTCACCCAGAAATGTTTAATTCTAAGGACTGTATTAATCAGACCAATAAGAGCTTCACCATGACAGGGTCACAGCCTCTTGGATACTTCTAGTTCAGATGAAGTCTGAACTTCGTTCCTGTGATTTAATCTTAGGACAAACATTGGATGTAACTGACTATCCACACTCACCAGATTCATCTTCCTCCTCCTCCTCTTCCTCTTCCTGTGGAGCAACAGGAGCTTCCACAGCTTCCCCTCCTTCCTCGCCTTCACCATCCTGAAAGATTTCTTCAGCAATGGCTTCCTTCTCATGTTCTTCCTTTCCATAATCTTCTGCTTCATCATCCTCATCATCAGACATTTTTCGCACACGCCTGAATTTTTGCTGCAAGGACAATTCCTTGTTAGTGCTCACAATCCCTGGCTCAGCACTGCACTTCCTCTGCAGGCAGCTGGGAGGGAGCAGGATGGAGCCCAGCACAGCACAGGCACACAGGAGAGAAGAGCCACCCCACTCAGGAGCTGTGCCTGTGTCACTTGCATGCTGTCACCACCAGTGCTGGCCTGGCTGACGTGACTCTCGTGTTACAGAAAGAACTTCAGAGCTCATAACAGCCTGTGCTGACCTTGAGGTCAGCAGCACATAGGAAAGGAAGATGAGACTGTCCTGAAGAGGTGGAAAGGGAGGAGCACAGCAGACTTCAGGAACCAGAAAAAAGTGTTTTGCAAACTCTGGGAAGCCAGGTCCCAGTAGCTTGGGCAGGGAGAGATCTCACTTCCTTCAAAGCACTCAGCTCTCCCTTTCCAAGAGGGCAGGAGCTGATGGGAGGCTCACGCCAGGCTGGAGCCTGCCCTCCTCTGTGCTAAAACACACCATTAACAGCAGCATGGGAACACAACTCACTCTTTTGACTTTAACGCCCAAGTTTTCTTCAATGAGGTCAAAGTCATCATCCTCCAGGCGGTCATCGAAAGCTGAAGAAGACAGCAGAGCTAAGTTACACTCTCCCTCTTCTAATGTGGGAATGCATTGAGCCCAAACATCTTAGCCAGCTCATGCAGACAAGGGCAGAGGGTGCTCTCTGCCAGCATTACACCATGCCCTGCTAGTAACAATCATCCCAAAACTTACTGCGCTTTCTCTTTTTGTGGCCAACATCATCCTCGGAGTCTCCAGAGTCACTGGCTTCCTCCTCCTCTTCCTCATCATCATCATCATTAATGAATCCTTTCAGGTTTCCCTGCTCATCCTGATCATCGAGGTTCAGCTCCTCCTCTTCCTCATCTGGGATGGAGAGCAGCACGTGTTAGACACTCATTGGTTATCCACTGAGACCTGTGCAAGCAGCATGTTCCTCCACACCATCCACACACAGTTTTAACTGAACACTTGCACTGACACAGAACACAGCCAGCTGCTCTGGCCACATCCCCATGTTTTGTCTCATGCTGTCTCTGCAGAGGGAACAGGTGGAGTGGTCACATTGGGAGAATTCCTCTGCTTTTACCATTTAGTATCAAGTTGTGTGACTGCAAGTCCCATGGGGGCAAAGCAGTGTATTTTTTATTGCAAATTATAAAAAACACTTGGAACACTTGGAGGAAGGGAAGCACTCAAAGAGCTGAGATTATTGACTACAGATGGCCCTGCTATAATAGCAGTTATTGTTCCATCTGCAGAGCCATGGGATGCAGAATAGAACAGCAATGAACACAGCAAACTCACCATCCTCATCTTCCTCTACAAACTTCTTGGTTACTCTGGGTACAACCTCCCCATCCTGGTTGTACTCCTCCTCTGACTCCTCTGCTTCACTCTCCACAAAATCAGACATGGCTGCAGCCTCTCACACAGCAGCTGAGGAAAGAGGAAACATCCCTGGCATTAGCTGAGCAAGCAGAACACAAACACTTCCCCCTTCAGGTTTTGGAGAGAAGGCAGCTAAAGCAAGAAGGGTTTCAAATGAGCTACAGAGGCCCTGAATTGCCCAGTGCCCACCTTGCCTGGACATCCCTGTCACCACAGCTTAGGCAGGAGAAGGCAGCAGCCAAGAGCTGCCAGCTCCTGCCAACCCATATCTGGGTGAGGAGGGCAGGAGCTGTCACTGCAACTCTCCCGTCTCCTGCGGCTGGAACGTGCACACAGCCAGAGCCCCCATCCCATCCACAGCCTCCCACTGATGCTGCACCATGTCAGGCACACAGCCCAACTAATTAGGATCTTAATATGATTAATCCTCACTCAGTTAACGAAGCCAGGGTGACCCTGAAAAGGGCCTTGACTGAGCTGTGATTGCCAGCTGTGACACTCTGCAGAGCCCACAGAGCAAACTGGAGAGAGGTCTGGGGGTCTGTGAATGCCCACAAGCCAGAGCCACAGCCAGGCAGTTCCATGCTAGGGACCTCCACCCAGAGTTGAGGAAGAAACAAGAAAACGACAAAACCAGTGCATTTTCTATATCCAGAACCTTTTGTTTGATGCTTTTCCCAACTGGAGTTTCTGAAAACAACATAAATCAAGCTTGGCACAAAGGAAAATGTTTGCCAAGTTCTGTCCCTCTGAGCCTTCCACTTCTGGTGGTTACAAACCCACTGATATTTTTTGTACAGGCCTTTGGGAAGGAGCTGTACAAAAAGCAGTCCAGAGGTGTCAGATCTAAAGCCAAAACCTCCATGTTAAATTGTATCTGATGTAATTCAACACACAAACACCGAAAAACAACAGAGAAAAAAGATGATAAAATAATTCCATATGGCAGGGAATGGTACCTAAACAAACATGCTTCAAAATATTCCCATAATCATTTCCCCACTGCAAACAACCTGCTGAAGGAAATCAGTCCCATATTGGACAACATGATCAAGGCTTTGCCATGACACTTCCTGTGTGCAGCATTTCTTGCCCTGCCCTGAGATCCACACATCTGCTGCACAAACACAACAACTTGAAGAAAAACAGGGACTTAGTGCTCAGTTAGAGTTAAAAAATCCAAGGCTGATCTTGGATGATCTTTTAAGTCTTAAAACACAAGCAGCTCTGAAGGAACACGTCATCCGTATCTCATTAAAGAAAACCTACAACAAAGATGAGGGAAAGACCTCTGCCAGATTTCAGACTTGAGTGGAGAGAGCAGCTCATACTCCTTGGCTGCAGAATATGTAGCTGTGGCCAACTTCTATGCAGGATGTTCCAGACAAGCAGAAATCACAGCAGGCCAAGGCTACTGCTCTGCATCCAGACAGAATGTGGCTGCTCTGGTTCGGTGTGGGATCCCCATCCTCAGGAGGACACTTCAGAAGTCAAACACTTGTATTTAAGCATCCCTCTCAGAAATAACACCTCAGAGGGCAGCGCTGATGCCAGTTAAATGTGTATTCCTGATGCAAATGCCACTGATAAATCATGTGACTACACATAATAGAGAAACAGGGATTATGTTTACCAACCTGTGTGTGAATATTCTGTCAACTTCACCCTTTCTCACCAATCCTCCTGCTCCAGGCATTCACCAAGGTGTGTTAACATACACAAACCTGCAGGCTGAGTGACTTTTTCAAGTCTAGTAACCTCGTTTATCTCCTGCTCATGATCAATACACAAATCCACCTCGTGAAGCACCACATCCAACTTCACCATTCTCTGCCAGTGAAGTATTTAGCTCACGATTCCAACTTTCTTCCTCATCACTTGCTCTAAAATTTCCTGGAAATTTTACTCCCATGTTAATTTAAATTTGTCTGGACACAGGGAACAAATAGGAGTTGAGAAAACCTTCTTATTTAATAATCCAGCCAAGCAGGTTCCACACAAGCCAACCACCCACAAACCCGGCTGCTTTCAGCTCCAGTGAAATTCACCTCAGGACAGCAGGGATGTCACTTAGCACGGAAAACAGAAGCAAGATGTTAAACCAGATATGGATTATGGATGCTTCTGCCACCTGCTGTGCCAGGGAGGCCTTAATTAGAAACAAAACAAGCCAGGGAAGTGGGCAGAGGTGCACAGGCAGAACTTGGCGTGGTCACACAGAGAGAGACCTGAGGAGGGTTAAAAGATTCTGAACCAAGGAGTGTTGTGCCAGCCCAGCTCTTTTTGATCAGGAGTGTCTGCACTTTGCTCAGATCAAGGGCATAGCAGCTCTGCTCCAGAGTGCACAAGTTTCTTTTAACTGGGACTGTTGAATTCTGATCAGGTCAGGACCAAGATGGACCATCAGCCACAGTCTCTGTGAGGTGAGGCAGGGCCTTTAGAACAGGCACTGCTTTGTGAGAACCTGAGGATTTCAGAAATTGTTCACACATCCAAATATCTGCTGGTTACTCAGGACACTGGGAATAGAAAAGTCCCTCAAGAGCTTCACCTGAGCAGGCATGGGGTGAGAAAAAGCAGAAATATCTGACACTCTCCCAGCTACAGGGATGCCACCTAAGGCAGGAGACCTCAGTGGCGTTCAGAGAATAACCAAACAGTGTCTGCAGAGCAAGATATATTTATTATTCAGCAATCAACCTCAAGGATAGCAATTTGAATATGCAAACCAACAAAGCCATCTTGGCTTTAGGACAGCATGGGTACAGCAAAGACAGACCTTGACTTCTCCCCATCCTTTGTGGAAGAAACTACATCAATCCCACATTAACACTTGTTTTGTGGGTGTTTTTTGGGGGGGAGAGAGCTTGGGCAGGGATGGTTCTAACCTCTGTCACTTCATGATTCGACTCACAGTTCATTTAGGATCACACAGATCCAGGGAACCACACTGCCAAAGCCACCACTGAACATTGCTCAGTTCTCATGGCCACATTTCAAAGGGTCAAACTGCAGAGGATTCAGAAAGCTCTGTGAGAGTAAGAGGGCTGGGGAACTCAAAATGCAGAGCCTAAGGAAGCCAAATCTATTAATTTTGTCAATTAAATGCTCATGAAATTAATTTTAGCACAGTCCAAGTACATCCACAGGAGTCCAAGACTTATAACAAATGTGTGACTAGGAAAAACCCAAATGAACTGCAAAGATAACGCCACTCTTTTACCCCCTGAAGCTCTCAGTGAATTTCTCAGTGAAATCAATATCAGTTTTCTTAAAATTTAAAAACAAACAAACAAACAAAAAAACCCACCAAGCCATCGTTGAACTGAAATGTGTGGATTTAACATTATAACTAAGCAATGATCTTCAGGCTGTGTCCCACCACAGAACTCAGACAAAATCATCTTGGCATCTTTTAATTTGAAGCTTATAAGCCTAAAAACATCCCTCTGAAGCACTGCAAGGCACTCACACCACGAGAAACTACCCTCAAGGGCACCTCAATGCTGAGCTCTTCCTCACCAAGGATTAAATACCAATGCATTTCTTGGTATCCACATGGACTTCTGATGGCTACTGGGGCCTGCCATCCCTGACATCAGCAATATATCATTTTATATTTAGCTTTTACAGCTGTTTTACAGATTTCGGAAGTCTGCATCTAAACCTGACACTCCCACGCTGCTCGGTGGGAGGAACACAGGGGGAAGTGATGACTGGGGACCAATGATGGGGAAAGTCCAGGCAGCCACCACAGCTCAGGAACTTTCCATACCTGCTTTGTTGGTTTTAATGCTCCTGCTGGTCCCACTGCCCTTGATGCTATGCACCCTGCACGTCCTGTGGCAGGGTGACACATTTAATAGCATGTTGTGTGAAAATGCGCTTCCGCCTGTTTGTTTTAGCTCTGCTGCATCATAATTTCCGGTCAGAAATAGAAAACTGATGCTCCCTCCTCGCTTTCTCTGACCTACCCGTGACTTCGTGCACCTGGATGGTGTCTCCTGTCAGCAAGCTTCTCCCCTAAGGTGAGGACACGAAGGCTTTGCTTGCCCAAAAACCTGCTCTGCTCCTGCCTTTTCCAGCGCTCCCTTTTTGGAATGGTCTAACCAGAATTGCCAGGATACAAAGTGCCAACGATTTACTCAGCAGCATAACAATGTTTTCTATTTCATTCTCTCCTTTAAAGTAATTTGAAAATATCCCTCTTAGGCTACAACGGGGTGTCGAAGTTGTTTTAAAAGAAACAATTGTTGAGACACCTACTGCTCTTCCCTGAATAACAAAAGCTGATGTAGAGCCAATTTTGTGGTGGTTGTTACCTTCCTTACACCTTCTGCCATATCTCATTTACCACACTAGCACTCCCACGCGGTGTTATCTGGTCTCTGCAACTCCCCACAGTTTAGTTATCCTAAATAATTCAGGAGTAACCTTCCTTCTCCACATCATCGTATTCAGGGGAAAAAAAAAATAAATAAAGAGCAGCGGAGATGACTGTGAAACTCCACAATAACCTCACTCCCCTATGAGCACCAATCGCTTGACCTTTCAGCCATTTATTAAACCCAAAAGGGCTTTATCAGGGCCTTGTTTTCTCAGGGAGCATCTCGCCAGAAGTTTGGTAAGCCTAATGCGGTGGTCTGGGAATCACACCTGAGGGACAGAGACCCGGGAGTCACACCTACAGAGCTACAGGACCACCAGAGAAACGAAGGGCAGACCCTTTCCCCCGCTCCCAGAAAATCATCCCGGCCATCGCCTCACATCCGCAGCTCTTCCCACCGTGCCAGCGCTTCCCCGCGGCCCCGGCCCCGCCGCAGCAGGGAGCGGGGGCTGCGGCACCTCCCGGCCCCGGGG